TGCTAAGATGGTTTTCGATGTCATTGGAAGAATGGAAGATACGGAGCCACCTACGACTGAATTAAGGGATGCCTTAAAAAGACTTTGGACTGACAGTGGAGTGCAAGTAATATATGGGCGCTCAAGGGAATATCAACTGAACGACTCAGCACGATAGTAAGTTACACCCATAATGCATCGGGAGTCCTGACAATGACGTTTATAACAAAACTGTGATAGACTTGCGTGTCGTTTTTTTTAATGAAATACATTTAAAAACAAGTTGTTACGCCGTTCCAAATCTTGGCAAGAATGTGGAACATTTCGATTCATGGTCAACAAACAAACAATCAACAAATGAAACTTCGCCATGAGATTTGTTCCGAGTTTTACCGCCCTTTCACTGGTTTAAACATAGAACTACGTATCTCATAGTAAAACGTAGCTGTAAATGCTGTTTTAGCGCCACGTCGTCATTATTTCCATAAATCATAGCTGACAGTGCAAGCAAGATGAGTACAATTTATTGCCAAATGAATAAACTCATTTGGCATTTATGAGTAGGCTTCTACCTTAACATGAAATTCGAACGCGAGCTGCGCATGCGCGACGGATATGACGCTTAATATGGCATAAAACTAGTTGTTTAATTACTACCTTTAATTCGTGAAATAAATCTGCTCAAAATATCATAATAGTGAAATAAAGTGATTTTCAGCGAAAATATAATGCTGAATTATTACAGGAAAAAATATGCATGTTAAAGGGCGGTAGTCGTCCCGCCACGCATGCGCGAGATATAGTGGATCTCATATAAACAAAGATGGCGACTTTGACTGTTGCGCAGATCAACGAATACAAATTAAGACGTCACCAAGCTTTAATTAGGTATTTTTAGGTGGTTAGAAGGTATCGAAGGAGTCACGGGTGGTAATTAGGTCAAGTCGCGCCCAAACCCCATACTTGTGATTTCCAATAGAAGATCGCACTGGATTGTGGGAAAACCAATGTTTATCAACACAAATATCGCACATGCTCAGCGCAACGACTACCGCCTTTTAAGTATGAAATGTGATGTGGAAAGTGACGTAAATGGTGCACATAAACAATCGTGAATTACAAATTATTTTTAACTTTTATCCTGCCAGTCCCATGTACTTTAACATTGACTTGACCAGATAAAGGTTAAAAGTTGAAAACCATACGACTATAAACGTGACCGTGATCGACAAACCAATAAATACTCCACGTAACTATAGATTATTACGATAAGTGCATGGTAAATACAAAGATTGGTGCATCCTTCAACCAATATACACTTGAACAATTTGCATGCAATGTGAACGGGTGACACGTCTAGAACAGATTCTGCCCACTCACCTCTACTGTAGCAGTCCATGACACAGTCGTTACTTACGTCACGAACACACACATACACCAGACAATCACGCCCACGGTAGATACACATGCCAACGGTCTCGGCTTAATGAGTACTATAAATTATATACCCGCATTTTTCTACCGACTACTCGTTTCACTTATAAATGATACTTATAACACTGTCTTGTTTTTTTGCTTAAAGTTATGTTGTCATGGTAAACTATTGGGTCTTTTAGCAAAGGTCATAAATTATGACATCACAATTATTGAGCGCTCAAAGCTGCTCCTTCGTTTTATTTTTTACAAAGTTTCAATCATTGAATATTTTAATTAATCGTCTTATTGCATCATTGTAATTTTTGACTGAGTGGGCATATTTTTTTCATTTCAAGTGTTCTAATTTGTACGTTTTCTGGTTGTTGGATGTCGGTTTTCTGTTCACACCCTGTTCTCAACTGGAAATCTCAGTAGTGTCATTACAGAGAATACATGCACAAATACTACATCTTGTTAGTAACAGTGCGCTGATTCACCCTAGAAGTCACGGACGAACCTTTTAAGATATTTGTGTCATCCATGATGTGGCACTTCAATTCACGGGCCAAATAAAACACCTAAAAATCACCAGGTCAAAACACTTCCCTTCATTGGTAAAATAGTTTATTTTAATTCCTAATTCCCAACAATGCGTCTTCGATTGGAAAGGTGGCTAGACATAATTCAACACAGTAATATTGCATAATCACCACAGTAAATACCCACATTGTTAATTACGAAACAACCATAATACGACGCAAAATCGGCTTAGTAATACGACGTAAAACTGTACACAGTAATAGAGCATAAATCATCACAGTCGTACGAAATCATCGATGTTACAACGCAAATCGGCGTAGTAATACACAGCAATTGCTACAGTAATAGGGCGTAAATCACCACGGTAATACGAAGCGGAGCAATGAAACTTTCCAATCGCACACACAACAATAACCTGCAAATACCTTATTTTATTTCCAGTTTCTTAGATGATTTAGATCGGGTGTGTGATCAGGAATATCTACCCACTGAGCAAGACGTACTACGAACTAGGGTAAAGACAACGGGAATAGTAGAAACACACTTCAGTTTCAAAAACCTTAATTTTAAGTAAGTACTATTTTCACCAGTTCATTGCGGGATTGAATGGATCCATTAAAATTACAATCAACCGTTTCAAACCAATGTGACTCAGGGCCCCAATCTACACACTGCCACTCTGCCTGTCTAACATCCCCGCGGGACAAACGCATAGTTTGCTGAACTTGCTCCTTTTCAGTCTTGACTAATTGGTTAAGAGTAATATCTATAACCTAATTTATTTTTAAGTCTCGTCTATTCATTACATCAATGTGATTGGTTGGCTTTCTTTCTTTGTTTTTTGTCAGATTATTTGATGTAGGTGGCCAGCGATCGGAACGAAAAAAGTGGATCCATTGCTTCGAAGATGTGACGGCCATAGTGTTTTGTGTAGCAATGAGCGCCTATGATCAAGTCCTATATGAAGACGAAACGACAGTATGTATTATTGTTTGTATTTTCAGACACCAGCAACATTCTGTTGTCACTCCAATAGCACACACATGGCTCCGTAACATATGTTCGATCGTGATACTATAAGCAATATTATATAACTTTTGTTTGATTCAAAGGGTTACACTGAATATTACAGCGAAGGGGTCGTCACCTGCGCACGTGCGGGAATTGAGTCCCAAGCGACGATAACAACGCACGCTAAAAACGCAAAGGTTCATGGGTAGACGCTAGTTTGTAAACAGCGACACGCTATGGCCGTCTAGCGAATGCGCAGGTGATGACTCCCCCGCTTTAAAAGATTGTGAGTCCTTTAGTGTAGCGTTTGTTTTGACATTCAATACCTATAATCTATCATGTTATGTGTAGTCATCAAACAGTCTAGCCTATCAGCCAATCAGCCAGAATTGCATATTATATTATGGCAATACTTCTTGTATGGAAATTACATTACTAATTTCCTTTGAACATCTGATCAGTAAGATATTTTGCTCGAACGCCAGACCCATTCACTACCAAAACCATCCCATCTACTAACATGTTACAACCATAGTCATTTGGCACTATTGGAGATTGTGCACAGAATACACCTCCAGATTCATACAATAATTTGGTGAACTGAATTATCTACACACCTTTCTGGTACACTTCTAGGCAAGAATGTGTGATTTGTGGAAGGAACTACAGCCTTATAATTTTTTTTACGACAGAAAACATCAGTAATTGGACCACAGGCATAAAAAGATTACTGAACCTTTTAGAAATTAGTGATGTTTGCGAAAAAAACAGTATTATCCCATTAGTTACAAAAAAACTAAAAAATATGTTTGAGAAACACTGCACAGAAACAATGCATAATGACAATAAAAGAACTAATCACAAAAATAAACTTCGTACCTACAGACAGCTGAAAACTGATTTTGCACTTGAAAAATACCTTGAAATTATTAAAAAAAAACATCCACAGATCATCTATGACTAAACTGAGGATAAGTGCCCACATACTTCAGATTGAAGTTGGGCGATATCACAACAAAGATATCTTAAATAGAACATGTCCTGTCTGTGACTCAAATGAAATTGAAGACGAAGAACACTTCCTCTTCAATTGTAACCTGTACAAATTTGAAAGAGATGCTTTGTTTGAAAACGTAAACTTATCCGGTAATCTGAAAGCACTTCTCAATAACAAAAATTCTGAAACTGTCCAAGCAATTGCCAAGTTTATCAGCGACTGTTTCACTAAAAGAGAGAATTTCATGAAAAGCAATTTACCAGCTGCCTCAAAATAACACCAAAAAATATTTATATAATAATATTTTCACAGAATTACTATTTATTTATTTCCTTTTTTAAAATTATTTTTACTTATGTATTTTATTGTTCCTTATATCCTTATTGTTTTCTAATCTAGATCCCATAGGGGATACGATATCAATAAAGGTTGTTATTATTATTACGACAACCACTGAACACATGGTGTTTGAAAACAGTGTGACAGGTTATGACAATCGGTTTTCACCTAATAAACTAGACTGATGAATGTGTAAATAGCTTTACAGTTCCCTATGGTATCAAACACACAGGGTCGTATATGTACGCTTAAATGTGCAAATTTACTGGCATCGCTGTTGATACAAAATTAAGTGCTTGTGTTTTTGCAATTTGTGCCAAATAAGCTATTACGAACAAGCTACCAGGATGATTTGCTGATGTGATCTGGCAGTGTTTGGTGTCATAACTGACAATGTAAACCTTTTTTCATGTATTCATGATGCATTGCAATCAGTCGGACCAAAATAATAAAACAAGTAAAACAGAAATTCCATGTTCTTGATACTTCTAGAAAACACTTGTACATTTGTATGGAAAAATAAATGTCCCAGGAGATGACTTGCAAGAAACAAGGAAACTTTTAACGAATACATAGGAACCCAACATTTGTAATAATATGCCCCGAGTAATGTGAGAAAATAGCTTGGGGGCTGAAGTTAATTTTTAACTAGGCGCCACTTGTGGAATTTCGAAGAACATCGACTGGCAAACATTCGGGACAAATTTTCAGATCGGTAATAGACTTCTGGTGTTATGGTGTCTAATAGCACTTAAAACATTTCCCATTTGGGTGTGAAATGAGTTCAATCATAAAGTCCTCTCTGTCCAGGTGTGTAGGTGGAATAACTCTCTGGCTCTTGTGTGTGGTGTATTATTCCTTGTCTGGAATATCTTCACGTTGTGGAACTTATAAATTTGTGCACTTTTACGCTGAGGTGATGATGGAACCTGCTATCTACAAAAAAACAATTTGTAAAATGATACACATTAAATATGGTTTCTGAGAAAATGAGAATTCTAATGATCATAAGTAGGACTCATGTCCATAAGCTTGGGACACTATCACAAATAATTGTATACTATTAGGTACAATGCTGTAATTATTTTAAACCTTGAGTAAATGGGTACGAGTATGTATAAGTGAATATTTGCAGGGCCTTCCTGTAGGGCTGCTTTTAGTTGATGGGTGTACCCTGAAAGGAATGAACATATGTATATATGTATTGAGATACCCAGATAAGTACAATTTCACTAGTATGCCAAACAATGTACAAACAGTCAAATCTTGTTTTCCATACATTCTAACTAACTAACATGATTAAATATGCACAATAATACACTTATTCTCTGTTTTCGTATTCTCTAGAACCGAATGGAAGAAAGTCTGAAACTATTTGACTCAATCTGTAACAATAAATGGTTCACAGATACTTCCATAATTCTGTTTCTAAATAAGAAAGACTTGTTTGAAGAGAAGATAACCAAATCTCCACTAACTATATGCTTCCCTGAATATACAGGTGAGTAATGTCTGTCACGTTACATTGAGAAGTGGGGGATGCAACTTAAAATAATATTAGCACTGACGTCTTTGAAACAAACGAATTTATTTGGAATAAACCACAAATTATGTTGAATACAGCACTTAATATTTGTAGAGTCGAATAATAAACCTAAGACAATACTGCACTGACTTCTGAATATTGGAATATCAAATGGTAATTATAATGATCTAACGAAACGAAAAAATAGTTGACCAGTTATAATAGTCTCATAAAATTGTGTGAATAGAATATGAATTACTTTTCTCATTAACCTTTTGAAATATTGTGTTTTGTATTGTTCATGACTTGATCTACTTGTTGCATTGTTATTGTGTATAATTCATCTCCTTTTTCATTGTTCTGTTTTAATAACGTTTTATCTACTTGCATTATCATCATTTTTTTGTATTATTTTCGTTTTATCTACCCATTGTTGTGTTTTTATTACTCTGTTTTGTAATATTAAGTCATCTTAGCCAGACTTCTTCCGAGACATATTAATACTGATTAGCTTTTGAAGTTAAATCACTTGCACAAAATAAATATCCCTAACTTTTTCAACATTTCTTTCAAAAAATGGGAAAATTATGTTAATTAACAAAGAAATTAAGTTTATGAATTTGAGGGAAAACCAAATATTGTGCTATTAATGTTATAGTAATGAAATGCTCTAATTATCTCCTTTACCTCGTTTCAGGCCCTAACACATACCATGAAGCCGCAGCTTATATTCAAGCACAGTTTGAAAGTATGAACAAAAGCACAACAAAGGAAATCTACACCCATATGACATGTGCCACCGATACTAACAATATCCATATTGTATTCAATGCGGTGACGGACACCATAATTGCCCACAATCTCAGGGGATGTGGCCTTTACTAAACCAAAAAAGGACGAACCAAGATATGGTACACCGGAAACAAATAATTGCAAAGATAGGGTTTTTCAAAAAAAAATGCATGCCTTTATCTTTAGGTACTGTCCCACGATATTGGGGCAAAGAGTACATGTGTACTGTACTGTCCAGTACAATGATTGACTGGGAGAAGTCAGGTGATCACACACTTGGCCAGTCGCGTTAGTTTTACACTTTCTAGTACTCCTCATTAGATATACAAAACCAGCACTACCTTTCTTTGATTTGGCCGCTCAATTAAAAGCACATTTAAAAGTAAATTAAAAAAAAATGTTTTGTTTATCATTGACCTTTCTTGCTATTTTCTAAAAAAAATAAAACAAAACAAAACAAAACAAAACAAAAATAAAAATATTGAATGTTGCAAGAAGACGTATGATGATAGGAAAAGGCTCTCCTAGCACCAAAACTATACAACATGCTTTCTGTGATTTAGTGGATTTTACTAATTTTTCAAAAAACAAATCGGTGTCAAGACTTGGTAGACATTCCCCGTACTTAGTTAGAAAAATGTAAATATTGTCTTTTACAAAATAATATATATATCTTATTTCTTTTCATGCTAGACAAATTTAGGTATTCGGCATCTGCTTAGATATCTAGTATATAAAGGGACCACAACAAATACAAATCTTCGCTTTCATTTTCCAGCAGTGATTGTATTATTCTTGCTCTCTTAAGCGTTATGTTTGTTATTTAAATATAGATTCGAGCCATCGTGCAATTACTCTGCATCTAAAACTGAAAAAAAGCTTTGTCTAGGGAGATGATAAATTAATTTAACTTAAGAAATAAGATTTTTAAAAAGAAAGCAATTTCAAGTTCATTATTTATATGGAGAAACTGCGACTGGACACTTCACTGCTAAAGACTACCTCTCCACCCATACTTTCTTGGTATCTTAGTACAACCCGCATTATTTAAGCAAAGATTAGGGGTGTGGAGGTTTACTATAAAGCACTTTCAATAACTGGTTACTAATTTATGCTGTAGATTTTTAGTACACACTATCTCATACATTGGCCAATTTTCTTAAAAACCAGTACACTATTTGTTTAAGGTCGTGCGCCAGGCAGATTTATCCTTCAGCGTTCCGTTACCAGTTCAGACTAAAAAAAAAGTATCTAGTTGTGAAAACGAAAAAAATAAGTGTTTTCCTGTATGTGTGTTTATGTGTATGTATGTATGTATGCATATGTCCAGCTGACTCTTTTGTAACAATATTTTTTTTTCATTTTGTACTCAAGTTCGAGAATAGTCCACTTAACTGTATATTGTAGCGTTTTGTGATAAATTAATTAAAGATCAAGTTTTAGAGCTAACTATAGTAGATTTTGAGATATTCCAGTTTAAAGAGCAATACTTCTATTGTGTTTTTTTTTTATTTCACCTGGTCTCTGCTCGCTCTTATTCCTGTCAAAGAGGGTGGATGGGTGGGTTTGTGGGTTGGCCGGGTAGCAACGAGAAATATTTTTTAGTTCTTTTTGATTACACAACTTTTTTTTAGAACTGCCACAATGCATATCCAGGTTTTATCTAGCAACCCTAATCTATATTCACAATGGAATGACCCAAGTGGGAAAACTTAAATTAGTTCTTCTCCCAAGTGTTTATATGATTTTGGTTGAAAGCTTGTTTTTTATACACCTGTATCGTGTCGTATATTTTCTCGAACGTCAAAAGGTAATTATTACAATACTAACGGTAAAAGAAAAGAGCCTACATTCCAAACATGGAAAAAGTGATATATTAGGCTCAATTCTTTTAACGTTAAAATTTCATCTGAAATCTCGACTTTTGGAAATTGACTTTTTAATACCGATGTGTTTTCTATAGGCTTCGGTATGTATGTATATGTAAGGTTTGAACTGTAATTGTAGCTGCTTTATAGCCCCTTGCCGTTTTATTGCAAATGTAGAATTTCGAACTTCTACTTGAAGGAATAAAAAAACACAGATCTTTGTTTGTCCGGAACTTCACCATATGACACCTTAAAATGACAGTCGTCGCACCGCATTGTGTTCGATGGGCCACATGTCATGCAATGAAAAAAATACAATGTCTGTTCATATGAAATTTGAATGTACGCTGTGCGACGACTTCGACGTTTCTTATGCTGTAAATAGTACTAGTACTCTAATTAATTGGCTGAATTTCTCCAGTGGAAAACAAGATTATCAGTTGCACTTTGGGCATGTGCGTGGACTACCCTCAAACATGTAACCAGGGGCGAGTCACAGATAATGTTTCTGACCTGATTTATTTATCTGCCAAATACGTGAGTATTGAACACATGCCAAGGCGAATACAAATGTTGGTCTTTCACTGGGGGAAATGGGCCTTTCAAGGAATATATGTGGTGCCATAGTTTCCGTACAATCTGGATGCTTGTTGGGTCGCTTGTTTGGTCATACCTAATGCATGAGGCGTCATTAATAAATCTTATAAATGTATATTACCATCTTTCTTGTTGTTTACTGGGGAAAATACTTGCATTGTGGGCAACGTAAAAAGCATAATTGGGTTTCTGTGAACATATATACATTACAATAGAATTAATTGATTGGGGTGAATCGGTGAATTGTAGTGAAATGGCTAAAAGATGGTGCATTTAATCCATAGTCAGATTGTTCCTCTCACATCCAGTCCTGTCACAAGATGGTTGGTGCAAACAATTTGTTCTGTAATTTTCTCCACACGCCTTGTTATCTTTTAATTATATTAGGGGACTAGGATTGAAGTTGACAATGACTGTGAAACGTTTTTATTAAACAATGTACTCCTCATGTTGAAGAAAGGATTGGAAGGGTCACTCGCCTGTGTTACATAAAGCATATATATACCCATTCAAGTAGATTTTCCGAGGATAATGTTGCTGTCACCTTGACATTTGTCAACCCTTTCATTAGTAATAAGAGATCATTGTACACAGACAAACGTGCAATATTTCCCGTTATTGATTTAGTAACAGAATTTCATCAATGTTGAATACTATGTATTCATTAAACGGCAGTGGATTATCCAGAGAATTTGCAAAATTCTGTGTCTGAATATGGTGTTGTGAATATTATTAACAAACAGTTCCTGGTGAAAATTTAGATTTATCAATAATTTCTCTCCAGGCCAGAGAATATTTGAAGATTTTAGTAGCTATGTTTTAAAACTCACTACCATGTCATTTTACGAACATAGGAACCCTTGCATGATAATGAACGAATCAGGTTCTTAACACGCTAGCGACGACACTGGCCACAAATGACCTGTCAACTGTCGGTCATCAATATATCCCCGTACCCCTATTCATTTCACTCGAGAATATGGTTAATGGATTAAAGCATTAGTAAGGCAATCGTTACCAGAACAAAAAGACAATCTGGCAGCAGGTGAACCAGAAACATAGCGCAAGAAAAAGAAGTTAATAGTAGATTTCCAAGATTTTGAAATTTTTAATTTGTATTTAAGATAACATAAATCATGTCTTTCTTTTCAAGTAACACCATAGTGTTGAATAACGTGTAACGTTTTCAGTGCCAATCTGGAGCCAAATTGAAATGGATTTTAATAAGTTTAAACTTTTTTGTTTTTAAATTACCAGCCAGTAGAAAAGACAACTTATTTCAATGTTATAAACTGTTATAAACATAGTTCTAAAATATGCTTAATATTTATGATTACCAAATCATTTTAAAAATTATAATATTAACGTGTCGCAGCTTTGCGAATCTGTCCAACCATGTTATTGCTTCCACATAGTTGAGTAATTACAAACAAACAAACACTGCAATTTTGAGAATACATTACTAGCTCATTCATTTTTTTTTTATAAATGTACATCCAGAACACAATAAAAGATATATGTGATTTAAGAAATATTCGAAGCGCGAAAAAAAAAAAAAAAAAAAAAAAAAAAAAACGAAACAAAAACAAACAGATTTTTGTGCACCAAAAAGAGATTTTCATAGCAGTTTTGTAGTTTGTAGTTTTATTCCCTTGAGACAAAAAACAAATAGAATTGTCTACTTAATAAAACATATTTGCAGCAGGAATAGTCAACAAACACGAATAGAAGTAAACTTAGTTCTTTTTTCCTGGCCAGACATACATGATGGAAATAATGGAGACATGTTACGAACTTAAAAAAAAAGAGACACAATTTCTTCTAGCTAGATCTTTAAAGCTGTTATGTATCACAACAAACTGACTTATGAAATAAAGTGATTATCTTTAACGTCTTACACGACTGATATCCATACATGTGGTTTTCTCTTTTTTTTGAAAACATTTTACGTCAGGCGTCATTTCATGCTTGGCTTTCTTAATTAATGTGTATACAATTTGTATAATGTGAACACTTGACAATCATGGTAGCGTTATGGCAATTGAATGGAAATGGTTAAACACAAGCACCTTCAAAGCTTTCAACTTGAACCGTGTTTCATTGGTGCTCAATACCAGGCCGAATTGGATCAATTGTCCATAAAATGCAAAACAGGGAGCAGGATTTCGTAACTGGAAAGGAAACATTACAGTTTTTGTTTTGTTTTGTTTTATTTTTTTCTTTGGGTATACATTACTTGCATTAGTACAACACTGTTGTTCTAGTGACAATACATCTTTTCAATGCAGACAATGGTATACAAAAGATGTTCATAGCCAACATATTCGCACATGAATCTACAAATATTAAATATAAATATAGTACAAGTGATGACCAATTTCTGATAAGGAATGGCATCGAATTTGTGATATTCGCTGTCTCATTTTAATTTTCAGTTTGATACACATTTTTCAGCCTCGAGTAAAAATAGCTTCAATGGCTTTATATAATGAATGTAACTGCGAGCTTGTGATGAAGTGAAATTTATAATTTAAATTTACAACAGTTTCACAAGTATCTAAAAAGCATGAACAGTGTAGATGGTGGCAGTAACAGTGGTTTACCACAATATGCTACAATGTTTTCCAATGCGTCAACGTAAACCATACTCGGGAAGTAAAAGAATACATATTTTCATCTCCTGTACACAGATGCTACAATACCTGTATTTATTTGATTGAACCTGGAGAGCTGTTCATTTGTATAAAGAGGGAATTGTGTAATAAAGGCTATTAACTGGCTATAAATTGATAATTTGAACAATAATTTAACAATTTCTTCCAATATATATCATACAAATTTAACATTTCCTCAAACATTAATTCTGTTTTAGGGTTCCAAAATGACAATATACTCAAGACTTTTACTTCGTAAGTATCTGTATGATTTTCAAACAAAACTATGATATTATTTATACCAATTACGTTTAAATATATACTGATTTCCCTTCTACTAACATATATTTATTACGACAAATGATATTCTGAAACGTTAGTTGACTCAAAACCAGACAATCCATGGTGAAAACTGGAAAATTGTACTGACAAATAATAATATTACAACTACTTATAATTACATTTAATAGACAAGTATACCATTTCTCACTTTGCTTGGGTTTTGCTACACTAAACTAAACGCATTCATGGTACATTTAACATTCATTGTGACGTTTCTTTAATGAACAAATCTGACGTTTGCCGACCTCCGCTATTATAGTTCTTCTCATAATTCTATCCTGACGGTTCCAAAGAAATTTTGAACTTTCATCATTATTTAATCAGGTATAATCGCTTTCAAAAGTATAAATACTAATTTGTAATTTCGTGAGTTTTCCAATGATTCTTAATTTCCCACATTTTAATGTGGGAGTGTTCAGGATATATAGGATTGCAATTTAATTGACTTGTTCCACATATTTCGATTCCGGGTTTTATAAGCTGCCGAATGAAACACTGACCGAGTTACTGGCTATCAGTCAGTGTATTCTTGTCTGACATCATATCTGACAAATCATATCTTTTATACAACAGTGTCGAATGATAGGTTGACTGTTCCTTATTCATATCGTGGGATCAATTTCAAATTCATGAAACCTTTGTGCAGCTATATTGCGATCCCTTATTGGTGTGAAGTATTGAAACACTTTCTTGTGTTCAATCTCTCTCACACATGGCTATGTTATCATTCCATGTAAAACTGCAGAGTAGTTCAATATTGTCTCACATATATGGAGGATGTTTATGAAAATGTGCCTCATTGGCATAGTTTGTATTCGAACAATGTAACAACATCCTCCAGTCCAGATGTATGTTTCTGAGTTGGGACATGAAACGAACACAAGTGCAAGTGGGTGCAGATAAGTACTGATAAAGTTAACCTGGGTATATCTTTGTTTTTAGCTTAGCTTGAAAGTTCAAATAAAAATCAAAGAAAGCTTAGA